AATAAAAAATTTATAATGTTGGGTCTTGTCTTCATGTCACTGACTATGGGATTATGACTGGCAAAAGGTTTGTATAAGGCCAAAATAAAATATTTTATAGTAATAATTTACTTAATTAGAGTACCAAATTAATAAAAAGTCCGTTTTGAGATTAAGACATAATTATATAATAGACTGAGTTCAATTATGCTTGAAAAAAGACAAATGCAGAATCCTAACTCAGATCAATAAAAACTTAAATATGAAGGAATATGAGCTCCCTCAGTTTATTATTTTTTTGAAATAGAAGTAATTAATAGTATAGTTTTTTTCTAAAATATATATGTAGATTGTAGATAGATATAATGTTGGCTTAGGCGCAAATTAAATAACTAATAAATCTTAATAAACTATAGGGAGTCTAGATGGATTTATTTATATTTGAAGCCTTTGGTCAATCACGTGGTAAACCTTGGGGGGCCTGCAGGAGGCTATTCAATTTCAACATTTTGTCAATACATTTTAGTATAATAATAATTTTTATTAACGTTACCTTCCACTATTAACTAGTAATCAACCTGCCTACTTTAAAAAAATAACAATATAAAAAAAAAACAAAAATAATTCATAATTTAATTTATGAAAAAAAAATATAAATTAAGAAAATAATTCTCAAAATTGATTTTGGTCAAGTAATTGTTATGGAAGAGCCGTTACAACCATTTTCTTTATGCTAATACACCCGGCCATTTTCATGAGTTGGTGTGACTTAAAATTTGAGTACAGTTTTGTAACTCCCTTAATTGGTTTATGCTCATAATTTAACATTCAAACAAGTTATTTTGTAACTTAAAATGAAATTGAATGCTGAAAATTTTAGAGGGAAAATAAAATTTAATGCATGATAATAAAATTAAATGCTTTATTGCTCCTCTTTATATATATATATAGATAATATGATTTTTGGCGAATTTATTTTGTTTTATTTTATTGCTACTGCTTTGCAGGAAACAGTATCAGAATTTTAATATCACCAAAAATGAAATGGATGGTGATTATCCTGATTTTTTTAATTATCATTATTATTATATTATTATTGTTATTATTACTATTATTGTTATTGCCAAAAATTTTTAAACGAACCGTATAGAAATACACAACTTGCCTCGTTATTACCTCGGCTTTTGTATGCACTTATAATTTGGTGCAGTTCGCATCAAACCGAAAAAACAAATGTGAAAAAAGAAAAATGAACTTATGAAAAGAATAACCGAATCGAACCGTATTGTTGGAAAAAACCGAACCAAATTTGAATACAAATTTTTTCATACTAAAAAAATAAAATGAATAGCACCGAATTGCACGGTTCGACATGATTTTCAGTTTCAATTCGATTTTGCTCACCCTCAATATGACAAAGTTTATTTAATTGAAATTGCAACTAGATTAAAAGGAATAAAAAATATACTATTCATTTTTCATTTTTTTTACTTTCAAACTGTCAACAAATTTTAAAAATGTCCATCATTATTATAAACCTTTCTAACAAAACCTATTATGCACACAATCATTAAACATTTTATTTTTTTATACTAAATTAATTCCAATCGTTGTATTTTTATCTTATAATCGTTCACCATCTATCTAAAAATATCTAATTTTCCGGTTTTATATCTCTACTATATAGGTGAGATGAATTTCTTCGAAAATTTAAGTCCAATGGACTTCTTCATTTAGGCCGTGTTAGCTTGTTGACTTTATCGACATTGTTTGATTAAACCATTGTCCTTTAAATGTGCACTTCAAAAATCTTGGAAAATACTAGCTAGGAGCATTTTTTGACCTTTCATGCATGTACAACTTAAGTTTGAAACGAATATTCGATGCCTATGGATACATAAATATTTTCCATTTTCTGGTCTAGTCGCGAGATTTATCTTGTTGAAATTGAAATGGAAATGGAATAAAAGAAATTCACGACAATTACCGTAAATTGATTCTCACTTTTTTTCTCTACATATTTCACTATCATGACATATAAATATATATATATATATATAGGATTTGGTTCAAATGAAAACTAAGTCCTAATGTGAGAACCGCTACTTTTAATTGTATGTAGTGTTATGATTGATTGTATTTTAGTGCTATTTTTAATCAGGATGTATTTTATTAAAAACAACAACACAATTTATGTTAGCATTTGTAAAAATGATAGCACCATGTGAGATTAAAAATAACATCATACACAATTAAAAATAGCATCAAATATGGTTCTCACGGTTCTCACACCAGGACTAGTTTTTATTTGAACCAACCCCTACATATATATATGTATATAGGGGGCGGATCAAATGCGCCCAGCTCTTAAAATGCGTCAAGCTCTTAAAATGCGAACAACGCTTAGCAACTACAGACAACTAATCTAGCAACTACAGACAACTAACCTAGCAACTACAGAGAACTAACCTAGCAAATACAGAGAACTAATCTAGCTACTACTAACCTAGCAACTACAGAAAACTAACCTAATAACTACTAACTTAGCAACTACAGAGAACTAACCTAGCAACTATAAAGAATTAACTTAACAACTACAGAGAACTAACCTAACAACTACAAAGAACTAACCTAGCAACTACAAACAACTAACCTAGCAACTACAAAGAACTAACCTAGCAACTACAGAGAACTAACCTAGCAACTACAGAGAACTAACCTAGTTGGAAGGTTAGTTGTCAACGGTCATTCGGAAGTCAACGGATTCTGCCGGAAGTCAACGCCGGAAGTCATCGGTCAACGCCGGAGTCAACGAGTCAAAATAATATTTAAATAATTAAAATAATAAAAAAAAGAGTAAATATTGGCCACACATGATGTACCAAATCTTGTGGCTAAAAATGAGTCTCACGTCCTCACTTTAAATAAGTGGATGCATTGGAACCAATCCTTATGTATATATATAAATAATAATAATAATTATTATTATTATTATTATTATTATATTTTTTCAATATAAAAAACTATTCATGCGTTCAAATGTATTTAAATTAAACATAAATTAATAAATTAGTATCAATCAATATTATATTATTTTATATTATATCAACTCTAATAGTTGTATTTTCATTTTAAAGACAATCACTATCTCTGATCTATTTTCACTTTTTCTATTTTCTTTTTCCACTTTTTCCATTACTTTACTAACCGAGCAAAACCTTTCTAGAAAAAAGAAAAATAATAAAAATAATCTTATATCCAATTGGAGACCCACATTTGACTCATTACACTTTAATCAAAATATTAAAAAATTCAAAATTCAAAATTTTAATCGTGTTCTAATATCTACTACCTCCTTTTTTTTTTTAAATGCAATTTTGCCTTTATCAACAATTAACCAAATAAATGATGTTTTGGATCTTTTGTACATATTTTTCCATTATTACCCTCATATAGCTAATAAATACACTACATATTCACTCTTCATTTTTTCTCAAAACATGCATCTCTATCCTCATTAATGAGGGTTATTATTGGTAAAAAAAAATTATTAATTACTGTGCAACTCCTCAAAACGACACTTATTAAAAAAATAGGGAGTATGTTACTGGTCATATTAGTTTTGGACTATTCATAGTGATCAATCAATATATGATGATACCATCACAATGAGAAATAAAAATACACTAAGTTGAACATGAAATTGAGGAAATAACCACAACGCATGCATGCTTTATGTTATATGGACTTTCTCTTTTACTTCAATTTACAAAAATTCTTTCTCAATTTAAGTGATGTTATTTTTACACTTGCAATTTTGGGAAATTTTATTTTAAAGTATCACAGAGTACAATCCAAAATTTCCCAATCTAATATCGACTAGTCTCTAGCCCAAACTAACGAGGAATTTTGAATCGACTGTATTCTCGTGAAATCACCCATCAACTGTCTTCTCGTGAAATCACTCGTCGAGATTAAGAACGAGAAATCTGAACAAAATTTTATTTAACCGTCTCAAGTCAGCCTCACTCGCATTCCATTACCTTATTCGATTATCATTTTGGGCGCATCTTATTTTCTTATTATTAATTTTCATTTTCTTCTTCCTCCATACATCTATAAGTTTTATTGTTAAATCCAGGTTTAAATTTCGTTTCTGTAAGGGTTATTATTAACTTTGTAAATGAGACATTCGAAGAGATTTTCTTTGATTGTAAAAAATAAAAAAAAAATTTCACATCACTAAAAAGGAAATTTGTTCCAAACATAGAAAAACGGTCTAATTTTCAATTCCGGTTTTGCTATGAAGTCAACAGTTAGCTTCATAGTGGAGCCAAACTTCTATAAACAACAAGTAAACCATATCATATTAATAAATTATTAGTATTATTTAAGTACTCAGATAATATGGTATGGTTTACTTCTTGTATGTAGAAGGTTGACTCCACTATGAAGCCAACTATTGGCTTCATAGCAAAACCGAATTCAATAAACAGAATACTATAAAGTCTATAAAGTAAAAGGTAAACTTTGTGAGGTGGAAGGTAGAATCTGATGCTCAAATCTTGGATGGAATCTATATATAGTTATATACTCGGCCCAAATCCTATGAACAGCCCAAATCGCCATTATGGGTCTCTAGTAGTCTAATTGGATCTATAATACTCGGCCCAATGATGGATCTATATATACTAGCAAAAATTTATGAGTTCGAGTTCGGCTTATTTATCAATATTAACCAGCCAAATTCAATCTTAAGTGAGCCGAATTACAAAAAGAAACACAATGACTTTTATTTTCGACCCTTAACAACTTTAAACGACCACAGATTCAACTCGTTTGATGAGTTGAGCCCAAGCCTCAATGAGCAAAGTAGAGTCGAGATTATAATCGTTTAACAGTTTGTATGAATAATAAAAAATTACTAAATTATTACTATGAATAATAAAAAAATTACTGAAATTATTATTATTATTATTATTATTATTATTAATTATTAATTATTATTATTACTATTATTTTTAGCGTTTCACTATTTTATCTATTCAGATTTCAGAGCGCCATTGTCAGTAAGGGAAGTTCTTCATTGCACTTTTCAGTCACTCAGAGAGTGTGCAAAACCTAAAAAAATTGCAAAAAATTGAGAGAAAGGGAGAAAAGCAAGAAGAAAATCGAAGTAAGTATCCGCATCAGTCTCCTTTGTGTGAATAACGTTCTCCGGTAGCGGTGATGTTCCTTTTCGCCCTCGCCGTTCTGTGATTGTTCGTGTTATTTCTTTTTTTGCTTGGTAGGAGGTAAATGATGTTATAGGCGTTTGATCTTTGGGTTATTTAAGGAAGATCAGTTTGCTAGATGAAAATGCATGTCGCGTTATCTGCTTGTTTCGCGTCTTTAATTTTTTTTTTTTTTTTTNACTTCCTTTTGTTTGCGTTGGATCATGAGCTGAAGTTGAATACCTTGTTATTGGGCATTTTCGAACGCATTTGTCTAAATGATGATTGCAAGAGCTCTTTGTTTGTGTATGTGTGTTTCTGTGTTACTGTAGACATTTTTGGGGCGAACTTGGGTTAGGGTTTTGCTAAGTTTTCCTGTGGGGTTGAGGAGGAAGTGATTTGGGTTTAGCTCTTAAGGTCCCAAAAATAATGCCTACCATGATAAAAGGCCACCTTGTTGCTCTAAGATTCTGGAAGTGGCTTCTTCACTTTCAATTTTGATGATTGTGGTTCTACACCAAATCAAGATTTTGGTCCTCCTTTGGCATATATGTGGTCAACAATACAATAATAATTTCAGTAAATTCTGTCTTGTACCTCATATCTTTGTCTTTGTATCTTTTTTATTTTTCCTGATTGCTGAGATTTTTTCCGTTGGTACTTTCTTTGAACCCTTTTGTTCCAATGCATGGGATGCCTAATTGGCTTTTTGAAGGACAAAACATTTGAAATATTCACCCGTTCCACTTCGATGGGCACTTTTTACAGATGGGAGCATGGGATTTTCTGGGAGAAGCTGGACCAAGCGACAAGTATCCAAATGGCTCCATCAGAATGGACCTTGACGACGACATAGATTTTGACTATTCTTCTGATGACGAGCCCGACAATAATCCCATGGAGGGGCTTGACGAAAGTTTCCTTAAAATGTTCTGTAGGAAAGCCGCCACTTCATTTTTTGACCAGTATGGTTTAATCTCCCACCAGATCAATTCGTACAATGACTTTGTTAATCATGGGATTCAGCAGCTATTTGATTCCATTGGGGAGATTAACATCGACCCTGGATATGATGTGTCGAAAAAGGGGGAGGACAGTGATTGGAGGCGTGGGTCCCTCAGATTCGGGAAGGTCACCTTGGAGCCCCCGATGTTCTGGACAGGTGGGAAGTTTGCCGCTGTTGAAGGTGCTAATGACCATTTGGAGCTTTTCCCAAGGCATGCTCGTCTCCAGAACATGACCTATTCGTCCAGGATTAGTGTTGAGACTTATCTTCAGGTTGTGGATTGTTAACATTCTATTTGCTTTTATGTTATGGCGAACTGATAGGTTTCTCGTCATGGTTTAGGATCACTAGTGGCTGCGAATTTCTTATGTTCACTAAAGCCCCTGAATAATGATCCTACATTGTTACCTAATGTCTATTTTCCGATATTTTGTGCCAAAACCCCTGGCTTCAGTTTCTTCTTCTTCTGGTCATTTTGGTTACATTTATCTGCTACTGAATGAGGAAAGTTGGTCTATACGATATGTTTGGGATTTGGTAATTTGATTCCGTAGATGAGTAATCAACTAATCAAGCCATCGAACCCAGTGTTTTCATCTTGTTTTTCTTCTTTTTTCCCTTTTCCATTTTACTTTGCGGTTTTCACCATTTTCAGTCTTTTCTCTGTTTTCAGGTTTACACGATGGGTGTATCTAGAAGTGACAAGTTCAAAACTGGTGTCGATAAAACTGTTGAGAAGACGATACTCCATGAGTATAATTCTGTTGTTACCTTTGGAAGACTTCCCGTCATGGTGAAGTCAGACTTGTGCAGGATGCGCTCAGTTGACAAAAGGGATTGTGAGTTTGATCACGGAGGGTATTTTATAATTAAGGGTGCCGAGAAGGTCAGTTGGTCTGTATTTAGAAAAAAAAGCCCAAGGAGTTATATGTTTTTTGTAGTAGTGCACACTAAATTAATTACTTAAAGAAAATCTTTTTTTCCCTGCTTGTTATTGATGTAGCCTTTTTTTGGCTAGTCTTGGAAAATTTCTCCTTCATTACATAAAACTTGAAGTCCCCTTCCTTTCCAATTACATGAAGGATCTGAGACATCTTTGGTTGTTAATTGTATATCCAAGCAGAAAAGAAAGAACATTGCACAATCTTATAATTATTGCTATTTCTTGCTTCACTTACTCTATTAAGGCAGAGAATAGGCCCTGCCTTTGATATGCAGGTCTTTATTAGTTATCCAGTTGAACAAATGCAGCTATATCAAATATTTCATTGATTTTGCTCTCTACTTCCAACCGCAGACATTCATTGCCCAAGAACAAATATGCCTCAGAAGGCTGTCAGTGTCCAAAGTGCCAACCTGGACAGTCGCGTATCGGCCGATTGCAAAAAGACAACGAGTCTATGTAAAATTGGCCCCCAAAACAGAGAACGTCTTAGGAACTGATAAGATACTCACGGTCTACTTCTACGTAACGGAAATCCCTATCTGGGTTCTCTTCTTTGCCCTGGGTGTTTCTAATGACAGGGAGGCCGTGAAAATGATTAATATTGACACAGAAGATTCTACCATTGCAAACATACTCATTGGCTCAATTTACGAGGCTGATAAGAGGTTTGATGGTTTTCGTAAGGAGGGTAATGCAGTAAAACACATCACCGATCTCATGAAGGGTTGTAAATACCCACCCGAGGAGTCTGTGGATCAGTGCATTCAAAAGTACTTCTTTCCAAACCTCAGCAGCCCAAAGCAAAAGGCTTGCTTTCTAGCTTATATGGTGAAATGCCTTCTGGAAGCCTACAGAGGGCGCCGTAAAACTGATAACCGAGATGATCTGAAGAACAAGAGGCTAGAATTAGCTGGTGAGCTTCTGGAAAGGGAGCTGAGGGCTCACATAAAGCATGCGGAAAAGCGTATGGTTAAAGCTTTGCAACGGGACCTCGACAGAGACCGGGAATTGCAGGAGATTGAGAAGTACATGGATGCCTCCATTATCACAAATGGTCTGTCGAGGGCTTTCTCGACTGGGGCCTGGTGCCACCCTTATAAGAGGATGGAAAGGATCTCGGGTGTGGTGGCTACTATCAGGCGAAACAACCCATTGCAGGCAATTTCTGATATGAGGAAAACTCGTCAGCAGGTGTCGTACACGGGAAGGGTTGGCGATGCTAGATACCCGTGAGTCGTGTGTCATTTTTTTTTTTTTTTTTTTGGGATGCAATTCTTTCTTAAATATTTTGTGGCTTGCAGTTGGTTATTGAACTTGTTTCGAAATATTTCTGTGTGATAAGATATGCCAATACTAGTTAACTCAGTGCTTATCTGATGCAACTAGTCTTCTGGGACGTAACTCTTGATAATCTGAATATATTATTTTTATCTGATTGTTTCTTATTGATCATCCTTAATTTTGTTAATCAGAATATATTACTTTTTTTGTGATTGTTTCTTAATTATATTTGAATCTGCCTAGGCAAACTATTGTGTCATGATGATCATGTTTAATTATTTGAAAAATTATATCTTTTTCAGAAGCAGGCTACTTCACCCGTATTTTCTTTGTTTCACAGGATGGTTTTTAGTTTCATTTTCCCTTGTATAGGTTCTGCATAGTTTCATTCTTCAAAGGATGTACATGACCAGATTGTTAATTAATGCCCTTTTTCTTTCGCTTTCTTAGTAGTAGTATTATCATGACCTGACTTTGTTTGAGAATGCTTATGTTTGGATTGTTAACATTAATGTGACAGACACCCGTCTCACTGGGGAAAGATGTGTTTCCTTTCCACGCCTGATGGAGAAAATTGCGGACTGGTTAAAAATCTAGCTAGCATGGGTATTGTGAGTACAAATATGCTGGAACGTGGGGACCTTATCAAAATATTTCGTGAGTGCGGGATGGAAAAATTGGATGATGACACTTCAAGTCTGCTCGATGGAAGGCACAAGATTTTCCTGGATGGAGATTGGGTTGGATTGTCCAAAGACTCCTCATCATTTGCTGCCAAGCTAAGGCGCAAACGTCGCAAGATGAGCCTTCTTCGTCAGGTGAGCCCCGAATTGCATGATACAGTTTCTTGTTAACCTGGATATCTATGTGGATATTTTAGTCCAAAAACTTATATGATTCCAATCTTACATTTTTGACTTGTCCAAGGGACAAAGTAAATATTTTCTATATTGGCTCTGCTTGCTCTCTATGTGTAATTGTGTATATAAATTTATTGCAATTATAATAATTAATGAGAAATTAAAAAAGGCGAGAAAATAAGGGGGTGATATTGTATAAAAAGTTTCGAAAAGTTGTATCCCGTCAACAGGAGAGATGGAAAGGTGGACAAAATTTTGAAGTAAGAATGAAACATTGTTTAGATTTTGAATGGATATAAAATAAAAATGTGAGGATTAACGTTGATGTGATATAAAGTAGTAAAATGTTGCTGGTAATGATTGGCAGTTAGAAGTATTTAAGATTAAGTGAGTGGATAGTGTTTTTTGTTGTGAAACATGTAGTGATGATTGGTTTTTATTTTTAAATTATTTTGATGTGAGATTATTTTTGTTGGGAAATGTTTAGTGATGATTGAACTTTTCATTTTTTCTTTTTTTAAATATTTTGATCAGATTGGGTGAGATAAAAGTAAGATGTAGTGACTAGTGTATGTTTTGAAAATATTTTGTATCCAATCATCACAATCTAAACGGAAAAGCAAAAATTGTCCTGGCAGATTTCTATATCCCATCCCGACTTAAGTGCTGCATATTCAATCAAATTCCAGATCTGGTAACTAGTGCCTATGTGGATTTCCAAAATATGCCTGATTAGCTCCATGATTTATTCTTATCATTCAATCTCCACCATCTAATACCCTTCCCCAAAAAATAGCGCTTCTAGGGTACTTCTATTTCCTATGCAAGAATTTTCTGCATTCATACATCTCTACTAATATATGTATTACGTAATATATAAACATTTTTTTTGCCCACCTGTAGCTTGAGGTCAAAAGAGACCATCACCAGAAAGAGGTCCGCATATACGTCGATGCTGGAAGAATCCTCCGGCCCCTTCTAGTCGTCCCAAACCTGAAAAAAATCAAAGATTTGAAAGGCGACTTGACTTTCGACACCCTTTTAGACAGTGGGGTGCTCGAGTTCATCGGGCCTGAAGAGGAAGAGGATTGCCAAACAGCGTGGGGCATAAAGTACCTCTTCACGGCCGAGTTAGACAACCCGCCAGTCAGATACACTCACTGTGAGCTCGACAGCTCATTCTTGCTCGGCCTCAGCTGCGGGCTCATCCCTTTTGCCAATCATGACCACGCCAGACGAGTTCTCTACCAGTCAGAAAAACACTCTCAACAAGCAATCGGGTACTCCACCACTAACCCGATGTTACGAACAGATACGAATTCCCAACAGCTGTATTACCCACAGAAGCCGCTTTTCAAGACCATACTCTCGGATTGCCTCGGAAAATCGAGATATGCCGATCACCACAAAGGTATGTTACCCAGGCCTGAATTTTCCAATGGCCAGTGTGCTATTGTGGCTGTGAATGTTCATCTTGGGTACAATCAGGAGGATTCTATAGTGATGAATCGAACCTCTTTGGAACGTGGAATGTTCCGGACTGAGCACGTGAGGAGTTACAAGGCTGATGTTGAGTACCAGGAAGAGGACAATCCGGGGAAAAAGGTGAAGTCGGAAGATATGATAACGTTCGGGAAGGTGCAGAGCAAGATTGGGCGTGTGGACAATTTGGAGGAGGATGGGTTCCCATTTGTAGGCGCGAATTTGCAGACAGGCGATATTGTCATAGGCAAGCATTCTGCTTCTGGGGTGGACCATAGTGTGAAGCTCAAGCACACAGAGAAGGGTATGGTCCAGAAAGTCGTGCTCTCGTCTAACGATGATGGGAAGAATTTTGCAGTTGTGTCATTAAGACAGGTAAATATAATTTCTTACACATGTTTAGTTTTTATTTAATTATTTTTGGAATATACGGAGAATTTGTTTGATTGGTAGTAAAATGGAGTGTGGTTGTATAGGTTCGCGCTCCATGCCTCGGTGACAAGTTCTCAAGCATGCACGGGCAAAAGGGTGTGCTGGGGTTCCTCGATTCGCAGGAGAACTTTCCTTTCACCAAACAGGGAATTGTTCCTGATATAGTGATAAACCCTCATGCATTTCCTTCTCGGCAGACGCCCGGTCAACTCTTGGAAGCTGCCCTTGCCAAAGGCATTGCGCTCGGAGGTGCTCTTAGATATGCCACCCCGTTTTCCACCCCATCGGTTGAAGACATAACAGCCCAGCTTCACAGGTACATCATAACATCTCTTTTCATGGTTTGCGACTTTAATATTTAACGTTCGTAAGAGCTCATTAAAAGTGACGGTATAAATTAAATAATTTGCTAAAAGGAAAAGGTAATTGTTTTCTCGGCAAAAATGCATTTTTAGTCATGTTGGTTTAACGCCATAACAATTTTAGTCCAAAATGTTCCAACTTTTCGCCTTTCAGTCATGTTATTCAATATTTTACTGCAATTTCTGTCTTGAAATTGCAAGAAATGCATTTTTTAGTCTAAATGCAATTTCAGCCCGCGAGACTAAAAACATTCTAGTCTTGGTTTAACGTTGTAACAATTTTAGTCCAAGGTTCTAACTTTTCGTCTTTTGGTACCGTGATTTAATATTTTGTTCCAATTTCAGTCCTTTGATGCAAGAAAAATTTAAATTACAAGACTAAAATTGCACACAACTTAAAATTTTAAATTACAGGACTTAAATTGCTATCGAAAATTTGAAAATTCGGGAATTTGTTGCAATTTCAGTCCTCAAAGGGCCAAAATTGCAGCAAAATATTAAATCACAGGACCAAAAGGCGAAATGTTGGAACCTTATGACTAGAATTGCATTGCGGTTAAACCAACAGGACAAAAAAAATGCAATTTTGCCTTGTTTTCTCACAACTGATAAAAAAAAATAAAAAAAAAAATAACAGGCTGGGATTCTCGAGATGGGGAGACGAGCGTGTGTACGACGGGCGAACGGGCGAGCCCGTCCGATCCCTGATCTTCATGGGGCCCACATTCTACCAGCGGCTGACCCACATGGCAGAGGACAAGGTGAAATTCCGCAACACGGGGCCCGTCCATCCCCTGACCCGGCAGCCCGTGGCTGACCGTAAAAGGTTCGGTGGCATCAAGTTTGGCGAGATGGAGCGCGACTGTCTCATTGCTCACGGGGCCGCAGCAAATCTCCACGAACGCCTCTTCACACTCAGCGACTCTTCACAGATGCACATTTGCCGAAAGTGCAGCAATGTGGCTGGCGTGATCCAGAGGACTGTGCTCGGGGGCCGAAAGATCCGTGGGCCCTACTGCAGGTTTTGCGAGTCGCTGGAAGATGTGGTTCGGGTGAGTGTGCCGTATGGGGCTAAGCTGCTTTGTCAAGAGCTTTTCAGCATGGGGATCTCGCTCAAGTTTGATACTGAGTTGTGTTGAAAGGTCTCTTGATTGATGTTATGAATGGATGTTAATTGTTATGTGATGGAGGAATGGATGTGTTTGTTTATGAGGGATCTTGAAACCTGACTAAAGAGAGGGCCTGAACGTTTTTTAAAATTATGAAAGAGGTGAATTTGAGGTTTAATTGAGTGTTGATTTTTTTAATTGACGAGTCACGTTGCATGTTGAGTTAGATATATTACGAGAAATATGCATGAATAGTTACAGTTGAATTACAGTTATCAAAAGAAGTAAATCAAAAGAGTAATGATAATTGAGTTACATTTATGAAAAGCTACTATTTGAATTGTGGGCACGTGATTTTGTAAGCATCGACAAAGTAAATTAAAATATTAGCCCTCAGGGGATGTAATTGCCTAGAAAAATGGCGTCGGCAAAGTAAATTAGTTCTTATGTGAGTTTGACCAGTATGTTGGATGAAGGATAAGATTGCTTATAAAATTAGACTCATTTATTATTTGAGATTGATACTTAAAATAAGATTAGTGAATAACTCCTTGCAACATTTGTTTATTTGATAAGTTGTGTGATAGAAATGTGTATATTTTTGGTGAAAAGAAAGCGAATTTTAGTGGGTTGAAGGCCACTTTGGGAGGGATTTGGCTTACTAAAAAACTTTTCTCTATTAGGAATTTGGGGAATAATAGATTTCATTTCTTTTTCCAATTAGCTGAGGATAGAGATAGAATTTTGAATGGGAAATCTTGGTCTTTTGATGGACAATATTTATTGCTTAAAAACTGGTCCCCTGAAAGCACTGAATTCCTTAAGGATGAGAAGGTTATTAAGAAATGGGTGCAAATTTTAAATTTACCTCTGCATTGGTTGTCTGCTGAAACAGTTGAAAAGATTGGTAAGCTCCTGGGAACAGTCTTGGATGTTCAGGCACCTGGGACTGGTAGTACCAATGGACACCTTCTGAAAGTTATGGTTGAAATGAAATTGAAAGATCCCATTCTCATAGGTACCCACATTAAAGTGGGTAGTGAGAATAAATGGGTAGATTTCAGGTATGAAAATTTACAAACTTTTTGCTTTTACTGTGGTCGCAGTGGTCATACTGACAGAAGTTGTTCTTTTAAAAAAGAGGATATTGCTAGGGATCACCTGACTATTGGGCAATTTGGGGATTGGTTAAGAACATATAGTAGCTCTTTTTCTGAATTTAGACCTTCTGTGTCTACTCATAGTGCTAGCCTTAATAGTGCTTAAAATGCTTCTCTACCTCCAGAGCAACCTATTCCTAAAAGTGTTGTTGGAGAAAAAAGCTCTAATTGTGCTAATAGTAATCAAGTTGACTCTGGTTTTAAAGAAAATAGAAATGATCAGGTTGAGGATGTTAGTAATCAAGTGCAGGTTAATCTGGGGGGTGCTAATGTAGGTAATGGGCAAGATGAGACTAATACTGAGCCAAACCATGTGGCTAGCTTGCTTAACGAGAATAGCCTGGTAGAGATAAATGTCCAACCCTCCATTACTGAAGGAAAAATTGTTCAGAGAAAAAAATCTTTTTTTGTTAGAAAGGTTAGACTAGATAAGTCTTCTCAGATAGAACAAATGGTGATAGATAATAGTCCAGGGGTTTCATAAGTTAAAGGAAAGGGTGTTCTTAAGAGAAGTAGTGAGGTTCTAGTGAGTGAAGGAAATCAGAGTGGTGTGTTTAAACTAGAGGGAAAAAAACTTAAACTGGATACTGGTCTAAAAATTTCTGAGGTGGAGGAAACCAACCCAATCTAGTCCCAAGGTTTCCAATGAAAGCTTGTGTGTGGAATTGTAGAGGTTTGGTGGACCCTCTACAATTTCCCTGTTCAAGGAATCCCTAAGGGTCCACCTCATAGATTTTGCTTTTTTGTCTGAAACTAAGAAAAAAAGAAAATTTATTGAATCAGTTTGCAAAAAATTGAAATTAGATGATAGATGGGTTTATGTAGATCCTTGTGGTAAAGTGGGTGGTTTGTTCTTGTGTTGGTCTTCTAAAGTAGATGTGCTTAAGATTATTAGTTCTGAGTTTTGTGTTGAAGTTAAGTTTAAGTGGAATGGGCTGGATGTTTGTTTTTGGGCTATTTTTGTTTATGCAAACATTGATACAATTGTTAGAGCTTATCAATGGAAAACTTTGGTTAGGCATAGTCTTTATTGGGGGGATAGCTGGTTTATCTGTGGGGATTTTAATGATATTTTGCATAATTCTGAAAAAGTTGGAGGTATAGTAAGAGCTGAAGCTAGTTTTGAGTCTTTTAGGTCTTTTGTTAGATCTCTGGGGGTTGTTGAAGCTAAATTTTTAGGTCATCCATTTACTTGGTGTAACAACAGGCAAGGATCTTTGTTTATTGAAGAAAGACTTGATAGATTTTTGTTTTCTCCTACTTGGTTCTTGCAATTCCCAAATTCTCAAGTTCAGCATATTCCCTTAATTGCCTCTGACCATTGCATGTTGATTATGGCAAGTGATGCAGTTTTTTGAAGGTTCTAGAAACAGATTTGTTTTTTATGCTAGATGGCCTAAATTGCAGGGGTACTCTGAAGTTGTTAGTGATGCTTGGAATAAACCTGTTCATGAATTTGCTCTTTTTAGTATTCAAGATAGGATTAGAAATGTTAGGAAGGCTTTATTGCATTGGAAAAAAGATCATGTTCCTAATTCTAGTCTTATTATCTCCGCTTGTAAAGATAAACTCAATAAAATGTGAACTTTAGGTGGGAATAGAGACTGGAATGAATGGGCTAGTTGTTAAGCTGATCTTCATTTAGTATATGAGAATGAAGAGTTGTTCTGGAAGCAGAAAGCTAGGATTAAGTGGCTTAGAGAAGGTGATAGGAATTCAAAATTCTTTCATGCTAGTGTCAAAAACAGGAGAAAGACTAATAGTCTTGATAATATTTTAAAATCTGATGGCACTAGGTGTAAGAATAAATTGGAAACCTTAAGAGAGTTGATGATTTATTTTGAGAACCTCTTTAAGTCTTCTAGTCCCCTTGATGATCATTGCAATCTTGATGGTATTCCTGTTTCCATATCTGAATAGCTGAATAAAGATCTTGTTAAATCTGTGGATGAAGAAGAAATTAAAGAGGCTGTTTTTGCTTTTGATCAGAACAAAGCCCTTGGGACTGATGGTATGACTGCTTGTTTTTTTCAAAGTTCCTGGTCCGTTTTGAAATTCCATTTGTGTCTATAAGTTCAAAAATTTTTTAATCAGAGGTCTATGCCCAAAGGCCTTAATCATACTGTGATTACTCTTATTCCTAAAAAGAAGCATCCTTCTAAAGTTGCTGATTTTAGGCCTATTAGTCTTTGCTCTGTGGTTTATAAAATTATTGCTAATAGACTCAAGCTTGTTCTTCCTGGTTGCATATCACCCTCTCAATCTGCTTTTGTACCTGGAAGGCAAATTTTAGATAATGTTATCATTGCTAATGAATGTGTGCATTATTTAAATAGTAAGAGAAAAGGAAAACAGAGTTATATGGCAATAAAACTTGATATGACCAAAGCATTTGACAGAGTGGAATGAGCATTTCTTGCTAAGCTATGTAGAAAGATGGGTTTTTGTGATACTTTTATCTCTTGGATTTTGGCCTGTGTTTGTTCAGCTTCTTATTCTTTCAATGTGGATGGGTCTGTTCTTGGTTTTCTGCAACCTACTAGGGGACTTAGACAGGAAGATCCTATTTCTCCTTATTTGTTTATTTTGGTGTCTGAAGCTCTTTCAAATTTTGTTAGTCAAGCTTGTTCTGCTGGTCTTTTAAAGGTATTGGATTAGGTAAGTCTGCTTCTGTTATATCTCACTTGTTCTTTGCTAATTATTCCATTTTCTTTTGCAAGGCAGATATACCTCATGCTCATCTTATTGTTGATATGCTTGCTAGGTATGGTGCAGATATGTAATATTTTGTTTGACATTTCTAGAGTGACATCATCCAAGTATTTGGGGCTTCCTCTAGGGATAGGAAAATCTAAAAGGGACACCTTTTTGTTTGTGACAGAGTGTGTGCTTAATAAGCTTAAGAGTTGGAAAAATCAATTTTTGAGTGAAGCTGGTAGAGAAAAACTTATCAAGTTTGTGTTTCTTGCTCTTCCTACTTATGTCATATCATGTTTTAGAATTCCAATCTCTATTATCACTCAGATCACTAGTGATATTGCTAATTTTTGGTGGGGTTCCAATGCTAATGGGGGTAAAAAGATACATTGGGCTGAGTGGGGGAAATTGTCTATATCTAAAGTTTCTGGGGGGCTGGGGTTTAGGGATCTTAGGGCTTATAATGAATCTTTGCTTGTTAAGCAATTATGGAGGTTCCTTACTCTGCCTAATCTTTTAATTAGTAGGGTTATAAGGGGAGGTATTTCGGAGGTGAGAACCTGATGGATATTAAAGCTAAAAATTATGATTCATGGTTGTGGAAGAGTCTTTTGAGTGCTAGGAAATTTTTAGGAAATTTTTGAGAGGCTTAAGAGTGTTAGTGACCTTATGCTGAGAAAGGGTAGAGGGTGGGATACTGAACTTATTCTGCAGACTTTTACTCTTGTGGATGCACAACAAATCCTTCAAATTCCTTTGCAACCAAATGGGGGGAAGGATAAACTGATTTGGCATTGGGATAAGAAGGGAGTTTTCTCTGTGAAGGCAGTGTATAACACTATCATGGCATTTCAGAATCAGAAAAAGGATCAAGCTTCATCAAGTGATAACAGAGAAAATTGGCACAGATTGTGGAGAAGGACTTGGCATATCCCTATAAAGTCTAAAGTAAAACCCTTCTTATGGAGGTGTTGGTATAATTATCTCAATACCAATACTCAGCTCCAAAAGAAGGGTATTCAGATTGAAGGGATTTGTCAGGTCTGTGGTGCAAGTGATGAAGATTTAAACCATATTCTGTTTTCATGTAGTAGAGCTGTCAATTTTTGGAAGTTGATAGGAGTGCAATGGGCTTTTCAGCCGCAGGGTAGAGAGAGTTTTCAGAATTGGTGGTGGAGTTTGTGTACAACAAGGAGAACTTCCCAGTTGGAGAAGAGAATGTGCCTGTCAGCTTTTCTTCTATGGAGTCTGTGGAAGGCTAGGAACAAATGGGTTTTTAAAAGGGATTGGATACATGATAGAGAGATAGTGGGAGCAGCTAGAGAAGAATGGTTAGAGTGGACTTTCAAGTTGAAGCAGTCAGGTTTGGATAATTGTGGACAACAACAGATAGGACTCTCTACTTCAGGAGAATTTTCCAATAGAGTAGGTCAGCCATTTATGGCTATCAGTGCTCTACCTTCTGAAGATGGTGGGTTTACTATCTCATGCATAGCAGGACCAGATGAGGAACCTATATTTCAGTGGCAAGAGGTAACAAAAGATGCAGCCTCCCAAACAGAAGGTATAATTATAGCTGTTAGTAAAGGTCTGTAGAAAATTATTGAGTTGGGATGGCAAACTTGTGAATGCAGACTTAACAATACAGAAGCTGTTGCTGCTTTATCAAATCATATTCTTCTTGCTAATGTCACTATGAGTCATTGGGTTTCTATCTTTTCAATGCTAGAGCATTTATTTGAAGTTTGTTGTTAACCTATAAGTTTTCTTTTGTTGTGTTGTGGTAGGCCTTGATGGCTGGTTGAGGGGGAAGTTTTCACTTTTGCCCGTGGTTTGGAATCAGTTGATTACCGATGTACTTCTTGTGAGTTTTATCAATATATTGTTTATCGTTGGAAAAAAAAATATTATTCTCATTCCCATTGTTATTTTTCCTCTTCACAATAATAAATGCTCTCTTTTTTCTTCATAATCTATTCATTTCAAATGTTTAGCAAAGTCAAATTCATTCTGCACTTGAGACAATTAGTTTACAAAATATAAAAAAAAAAAATTGAGAATAGAATAGTGAATTCGCACAAATTATGAATTTAACAGAATTTCAACTTATAAAAAGCAAGTCGATGAATTTAGAGACGAAAACAGAGGGATCCTTATAGATGAGTGCTGCGATGATTGAGAGAAAGTGATGATGACGGGAATGCAGAGATACATTGGTCTCTCTACAAAAGAAAAAAAAGGTCAAAGTGAACATTTATGTAGCACTTGAGAATCCCAATAAATTGCATGACTAATTATCCTACATACTATGAATCACATGAAAACACAATTTATCTTTCAATTAGAATTATAAGAACCAAACGGACAATAGAGGAGTGATATCACGCCTTATCCTGGCTAATCCAGGAAAGCAAAAGAGGCCATCTTTTTTAATAAAAGTAGAACATCTTTTGGTTTCCTCTTCCTCAAGCCAATAGCGAACACCACCTTCAAATACAAACCACATTCATTATCAGTCTGCCAAATAACATATCATAAAAAACACATACATAAGAAAAGGAAAGAAGAAAGATAAAAAAAAAAAAACTCCATAGGAACAAAAATCCATTACAATGGCTGATGAACAAGAAATACAACAGAGCCTGCAAGATTTGCAGAAACAGCTTGGGAAGAAACAAAAATTTGAGGAATCGGTTTCCACCATCAGATCTCTCCTCAAACAGCACTATCCATCTGCTTCACCTGATCTCCAGAAAACGGTCCATATTTCCCCCTTTTGTCTTTTCTTCAATTTTATTCAGCTTTAATTTTATTGGGGGTTTTGATGGGTTTGTCCTGAAATCAAAGTTTTTTGGGCATGTTAATGTAAAATATCTGCCAAAAATTGGATCTTGCTAGAACCCATGTCGATGGAATGGAATTGATAAATGTTAGAAGTAGAAAGAAAAAAATTGAATTTTTGTGGAATTTAAATTAACCCTCCTTTCGAGTTGTATGGTGGGATATGGAATTTATGCCAAATTTGCCTGAAAAGTTGAGGTTTTTTTTTATTAATATGAGAGAAAAATATTGCCTTGATGTAGAAACATTAGCTGCTGTATATTGATTAAGTTCAGAAAGGAATCTATTCTGCAAATTGATCGAATATAACCTGAAACATAACTAATTTTCATCTGGGATTGTTTGTTTGATGGCTTTGTATATATGAATTATGACATTCTAATGTTATTTGCAGTTCTACACTGTTATATGCCGGGTTTCAACTATTTTGAAAACAAGATACACAGCTCCCGGATTTTGGAATGCCGGGCTTAACCTTTTTCAGGAAGCCGAGCAGCTCGTCTCGAATGCTTCAGAGCGTAAGCACCTACAAAATTGCGTGTCTGATGCACGTGGCCAATTAAACGAGGAAGAAAATGAGTCGGAGGATTTGAGATCCAACGGTAATAGAACCAGTGGAGGTATAAAAAAAAAGAAAGCAAAATCTCATCTTTTTCGAATATATGATATATCTGTGAGCTTTATTTATCTGTGTGTAGAAGTGATATGTGATGTTTAAATGCAGGCTATTTATTTGAGGGGCATCTCACAGTTGATCCCGAGCCTCCACAGCCTGATTGGTTAGTTCGATCAAACTTGCTAACGGCTGCTGCTACCTTGTTTCAAGGTGAGTCTTCTGAAGGGCAAATTGGGAATATTAACTCAGGAGAAAGTGCTGCGAACCTTATGCAAGAATTGATGTCGAGGTTGGACGATATTGTGCCTGAGGTAAGATTTTCGGTTAGCCCACGTCATTCTTCAGTAGCCGGAAATCGTATATGTGTTCCAATTTACAAAATTGAATAAATTGATGTCTTTAATTGCCAAAGTTTATTAATGAGGGTTTGCCTATATATTAAATTATGATGTCAAATAAACAATCACTTATCACCCTCAGGCACGATTATATGATCTACACAATCTTTACCCTGAATTTCATCTGTTGTAACTATTGCCATTTGCCATATCCTTTTCCCCTGTTTTGGTTGAGCTTGTTATGCATTTTCAAAACCATCTTATATAACAATTAAGAGATTGTAAAAGCTTGTCTCCAAAGTCTTTTGAGTAAATTTCTTGTGAACCCCAAATAAGATTTTTCAGAGCTGCAATGGATTGAGAGAAAGTTTGGACGTCTCAACTTATATAAACAAAATCTTATACCATTTCATTTAATCCTAAAGACTCTAATTTTACTTCTTATGTAATCTCTTAAATATACTTCTTCGCCAAACACCCTCTATTTTTTTGTTTTTTTTCATGGAAAATGAAAAATGAAGATTTTAGAGGTAGATTCGGGAGTTCCAAGAGTACCCCCCGCCAGTAAAGAAGTCGTGGCAAAGCTTCCTGTTACTATTGTTACACAAGAAGCCTTATTGAAGCTCGGAAAAGATGCAGTTTGTTCAATTTGCCAAGAGAATTTGATCGTGGATGATAAAATGCAAGAATTACCGTGCAAGCATATGTTTCATCCTCCTTGCCTCAAACCGTGGCTGGTAAGGTTTTTCTTACAATCAATCACATATGACATCAAAATTTCGACTGCATTTCCTTAAAAGAAAATGTGAATTTTGGTTTTTTTATAGGATGAGCATAATTCTTGTCCGATTTGTCGGCATGAGCTGAAAACTGACGATCACGCTTACGAAAGCTGGAAGGAGAGAGAGAAAGAGGCAGAGGAAGAGAGGAAAGGGGCTGCGAATGCCGTCCGAGGTGGCGAATATATGTATGTGTAAGAGGAAAATCATAAAAAGCTTGTTGGAACTTTTTCTTTTCCCCCTAATTCCCAGCTGTGATGATGATGATGATGTGAAATTGTGGATTCATAGTATTGTTTGTGGATTAATATTATTTTTCAAAAAAATCCATTAGTTAATAATGTTGTTATATGTGGTTTGTTGAAATTATTATTTCAGCTAGCTTATTAGCTAATTGTACCAAACACTTTTATCATATAAGCGATTTTTTCAGCTATAAGTCATAAGCTATAAACTCAAAAATCATTATATGTTATAACCTAGTTTATCCATTATCAATTAAATTATAAGTTAAATTCACCAAACATAACATTAATGTATTCTTCCATAGTGTTTAGTGTTGGAGAGACATGTGATGAGGCCATCATATCTGAAACTCTCCCAAAATGTTTGAGTTTGAAAAACATGCATGACATGTAATGGTGAATCAAATCAATTAATGCATATTTGCAGAACTAATCATTAATCGGTCCCCTAAGGGATTCGGAAACCGGAAGGTTCATTGTACCAAAAAAAAAAAAAAAAGAG